TGTAATAAAACTTTTATAAAACAATGCAATTTAATAATAAATGCTCACCGTTCTGTTGATGACAACACCAAAGTAGTCAATCAAATTTTCCCCATAGAAGAAATAATTGGAAGTCAATAGGAAGTACCAAGACAAGGAACGGAACCATGGGAGACCATGGACACGGTAGACTGCATATCCAATGTTGATGATCTCTTCAAAACACTTCACTTGAACGCAGAGGACCTTGGATAAAAGTAAAATACGTTTGAAATGTGGACAAACAATAGACTATTAAAATTATCATAATATTCATTGGGTGCTAAAGTACATTTTAATACATTTTCTGTAGCTTAGATGACCTACACACTGAGAGCATATGTTGATCAAACTATACTTCATTGAAAAATTGTATTATAGTCTGATTTGCAACGGTATAGATAACAGCTAAGTCCTGTGGCGTATTTTAAGATTCAGTGTCTAGGGTGTATAAGATTTGCCACCCTACCAATTAATGGAAAAAACCTAAAACTTTTAATAACAATTAAATTTAAATTAAATTATTGAAAAAATTTATTTAATGTTTTTTTTAACTATACCCTTAAGGCCCACAAACAAAACAAAAATGAAAGCTAGGTGGTGTGGTTTACACTGTCCCTTACAACCGTCTACCCACAGCGATGACCATTTTGGCCCTAAGGTAACTACGTCAATAGCTAGAACACAAATCAGAAAGGATACAGACTCAGAACTGAAGGGGGACATGCAGCTGTATTTTTCAACCATAGCATATAGATTGTCAACCTATAGCCTGAACTTATTTATTCACAATGCACATATATTAAAGAAATAGTCTAGAATGGGTAAATAATTAACTAAGTATATAGATTATAATGGCCTGTAATTTTGAATTTAATTTTTATTATTAAGTATTAATATACCGTAATCATGAGAGCGAGAGGTCCACCGTAGATCAGCAAACAGAAACCTCCGATCATCAACCATGTAAATATTCCACGAATCACCCAGTTCCTCCATCTAAATGCCACAATAAATATTATAAAGACATTATATATATTTTCTTTTATTTAAAGTCTGTGATTAATTTTGTTCGCTTAAGTTTTTGAAGAAGCTACTCCTTTTCAAAATATAACAAATGATAGACTAGATTTAAATTATCAGTTTTTTTGTTTTAGAATCTCGTGTCAGCAAAGTGCTTATCATATTACATAGAACACTTATAAAATCAGTACTAAAATCGAGTTTACCAATACTAATGTACTATCAATATTAATGACGTGAAATTGGATATCCAGCTATTCAAACTGAGCATTAAGAATTGTTATTAGTTAGTTATATATAGTGTAGTGAACAGACATCTGTACAAACATTTTTATCATACCATTTCTTTAAATAAGTTAAATCTAAAGTTTTATTACAGAAATTCTTATCAATGCAACTATAGTAAAAAGTATACAAGGAGTTAAGTTGATGTCATAAGACTGCCTAGTATGATAATTAATTACGAACCTAAAATGTGTAAACGTAATTATGCTAAGCACAGTATCAATTAACTCAAACTTGGACATTAGAAAAAAATTATAATAAATTGTATATATTGGACGGTCTAATATTTTATTTAGTTTATTTTCTACTTCTTTAAATTTTGTTTAGTAATACTAAAACAACTTTATACTACCTCAATACAATCGTCATGGTCTACAAATTAATGCATAATTTAAAATTTTACAAACATGAAATGCCAACATATTCTATGACCTTGTCAATAAAATAATTAATTCAAATGACATGTGAGATTACACAAACATGCTCACTAATTTTAAATTTCAACGCTTTTGATCCTAATAAACTTTTAATTTAAATACAATAGTAATTTAAATACTAAGTTAAACACATTTATTTTTCTGACTGAAATTTATTGATAGCTGATTTAGTCACCATAGATAGCTAATTCGCAATTCCGGAAGTTTCTTTGAGCATTACCTCGTAGATAGTCCAGAAAGCGCAGAGTCAAGGATTTCTGGAGTTTTGTCAGTGCCTTGCGGTAAGGACTTCGCTAGCTCGTCCACATACTTCTCTTCTAGGACTTTCTCCTCTTCAGAGTCGACCTATCAATGAATAAATCAGTATACGACATTAATTTTTGAATTTCAAATACATCTGTATTTTGTTTAAGAATTCAAAATTCAGTGTAAAATTTCATACATGATCCGACTCGACAGCAGCTTCTATTTTCTGGTTTCCATCGCCGTCTCCCCGCCGTTGCCTTATTTCACTCATTTCTAATCCTTAGTTAAGCACTTTACCACTGCACTTATTTAATTCGGGGACAAGCTTTACGCGCGTCCGATTAATTCATTTCAATTCAATTGTAAGAAAAAATAGACGGTGTTTTCCACCGAGCTGTCAAATGAAAAATCAATAAGTTTTTTTTTTAATTTGTTGACAGTCACTGACTACCGGGTCTTTCAGAATTGTTCAATTATTTTGTCAGTCTAAAGATAGTGAGGCTGCAGTCTACGAATAAATTATTTATTTATTATTTTTGTTTAATAGCAGGCACAAATAAGTTACATAAATTCCAAAAGCAATCTACCACAACAATTGTTGTCAAGGACTTTATTTTGTGTTTCTTCAGGTTTAAATGTGTATTAACGGTGGTTTATTTACTATTTAATTTAAGTGAAAGTGCACAAATGTGGAAAAATGAAACAAAGTACGACGTAGCTTCTCGGGATCCTCCAAAAACACCACTGAAAAATTCTTAGTACCGCTACCACCAATACAACCATCATTTTACTGAGATTATCATCTCATCTCATATCATTTAATTTCATGCCAAGTGATTAATGTTCTAAATTAATCAACTTCATTACATTTCTTATTTATTGCTTTTAAGGGTGGACGAGCTCACAGTCCACCTGGTATTAGTGGTTACTGGAGCTCATAGACATCTGGAACGTAAATGCGCCACCCACCTCGAGATATAACTTCTAAGCTCGCATATATAGTTAAGTGGCTACCTCAACCTTCAAACTGAAACGCATTACTGCTTCACGGCAGAATAGGAAAATTCACTTCGCATTATAATTTTTCATAAAAAATAAATGAAATATTAGGCTGTGGTATGATATCTTTGCCTTTCCAGTTGGATAAATTTTAATATAGGTTCTATATACTATGTATAATAATATATAATGTACTAGGTACGGTACATACCACTGAAATATGAAACTTATATAGGTCTATGTCTACATACATACCAACATACCAAATGCTGTCGAACAGCGTGACCAGATTTAGTAAATTTCTACTTATTTGGTAAATTTTGAGGCACTGGCAACACAATTTAGTATGTGAAAATTATTTGGTATATTTTAGTAGAATTCACGCTTTTCAGTTATTTACTTTTTTGGCATATCGGATAAATTCAAGGTATTCCCCCTTTCATCGAATGCATTGTAACTATTTAATTTTCATTATTTTCGTTACCATTCGTGCTGTGAGCATAGAGTGTGATAGACTAGTGGGAATTCCTTCATTGAGAATTTTTACAATCGAGTTTAAAATGAAACATAAATATACACAAAGATATCGCGATGTTCCATTCATAACGATATCCTTGTAGTTGCAACAGAAAACATGCAAATTGTTGACAAAGAATTTAAGGAATTAAAATTAGATGTTTCCGTGCCTAATTTATTGTCAACCTCTAGTTTGACGTCTGAAACTTTTATGGTGGATAAATTGTGGAGTAAAGTCAGCCAATTCTGTGATGCGAATAACAAACCAAGGTATGGCAACTTGGCCTAATTTTTGAAGCAAATGACGATACTACCTTTGTTAAACGCCAAAGTAGAAACAATATTTTTTTATATTAATAGGATTACAAATCAAGATCGAAATCGATTTAATAATAAGAATCTTCTTCTCAGTCGTATGCACTCTTGGCAGAGTGGTCGTGGTCATCACTTCGGTTGGTGGTGCGCTTCACCAGACGTCGCCATTCCTCGCGTACCGCGGCCCTTCTTGTGCACTCGTTAACGGGACCGTTTAGAGCTGCCTTTATTTGGTCGGTCTATCGTAACGGTGATCTGAAGCGCGGTCTTGTACCCTCTATCATGCCCTGCACCACAAGGTGCTCAACTGAGTCGTCACCTCGCCGCGACACATGCCCGAAGAAAGTGAGAATGCGACCCTGAACGATGGAGGATAGTCGCTGCTTGATGCCGAGTTCCTGTAGAATTGACTGATTCGTTCTGAACTCTGTCCACGATATTTGCAACATTCTTCTCCAGCACCACATTTCGAGAGCATCTATCCTCTTTTTCTCACTTTCTCTCAATGTCCAGGTCTCAGCAGCATAAAAAAAAAAGGGGAAGACCAGCGCTCTTACAAGTCTGATTTTAGTGGCTTTAGTGATATTTCGATTCCCCCATATTTTCTTCAGCCTGTCCATGGCTGACCTCGAAACAGCCATACGCCGCTTGATTTCATCAACGCACCCGCCAGTGTTCGATATCAGTGCACCTAAGTAAATGTATGACTGTACGACATCACAGTTCGCAATTTTTGTGACCTCTGGCGAGTTATTATTAGCACGGTCGACAATCATGACACTTGTTTTGTTGCGGTTAATTTTAAGTCCGAAATCAAGACTGACGCGTTCCACTCTACCGAGTAGCTCTTCCATCTGGCTAACACCTGACGCGACTAAAGTGATGTCGTCTGCATAACGAAGATTTGAAATCTTCCGACCTCCGATANTACCACCATTTTACTGAGATCAGATTTCATCTCATATCATCTCATTTAATTTCATCCCAGTTGATTAATGTCTCAAATTAATCATTTTCATTTCATTTCACTCCATAATATCATTTTTCATAAAATTAAGAATATAGATTAAAATAAGACATGACTTAAAGGTCTCAGTTACCAGGTCATAAAATCTCTTAAAAAAAAAAAAAAGAAATCTGGGCACACTGCTGTCAAATTAATTTAGTCAACAAGGTTTTTAAAAAATCTCGTACATACCTAGGTAATTTGTGTATTTTCTAGGTAATAAAATGGAGAGAGATCTTCACCAATGTAGCACAAATTTTGATACGGTAGGTATTCTTCGAAAAATGTGATTAATAACGTGTAGCAAACCGACCGGTACGTCACTCTCGCGGCCGTATGCCCGCTCGCTATACATAGTTAGCATCTATGTCAATCTTTTCAACAGTGTATAATCTATGTTCCGGGCGCTTCCGTTTTGAGTGTGAATAGCGTGCGCCCGCGTCTAAATGTAATTATTGTTTAAAACTGAAAATTGTTTGTGATAAAGGAAGATTAAAATTCGAAATTCGATATTGGTGACTAACCCATAGTTTTAAATACCCCTGAGATCTACCCCTCACTATAAACGCGAATTACAAAGATTTTAGCTGATCATTTTTAAATTTCAGCTCAAGTCTAAAGTAAAAGAATCATTCGAACGCATCTATGCATGCTTAAAAGCGAGGGAATTGAAAAGCTTAAGACAATTAGATGTCATTAGTAAACACTGCCGAGATGACCAAAACTTAATTAAAAACTATCTGCAAAATATAAAAATACGCTTTGACAATGAGCCAGGCTTACTAAAAAATATTAGTGAATACGGATCGATAGATTTTGAAAATCTCTGTTTGGATAGCAGTATTTTTAGCTTAGAAGAATACATCAGTCCTGAAAGCGACCATATGTATTCATACAAGGGATTAAAAGACGAAAGGAAAGACTTCGCCATCAAAGAAGCCGCCTTAAGAAAAATAACGAGCACACAGAACTGCAATTGCTGCGTTAATATAACTAGTAAGGATTTTTCCAAACAATTTTGTGAAACAGAAAAAAATGTCACAGATATTACAAAATCTGAGAAATGTAATAAAATTGACTATAGTACTTGCAATGGTGATGGAGATAGTACTTGTGAATGTAGTGATAAGATATTAGAAGTAAATAGTAAAATAATAGCCAACAAGGCGAATGAAGTTGGTACAAACTTAGGGAATAATAGTGATAGAAGTGAAGATATGGAAATCAAGAAAAATAATTCCACTGAAAATTGGTTGAATTTGATAAAAGGTCAGACAGAAACAGAGCCTACAGATGGAATGGAACACAGCAATATAACATATTCATAACTAAAGTAATAGTTAAGTTTAATATCATGTTTTTTACACTTCAAGACTTAAGTATCCCATAAAGTAGTTATAATTATGTCTGCAACTTACAAAAACTGAATAATATACCATAACAAAAAGTATTATGTACAATAAAAGTTCATTAAAATACTGTAACAGTACAGATGCTTGATGCAGTGAATACTGCACTGACCAGTTGTCTCATAGAAGTTTTTGGGACCTAGTTTTTACTATTCTTAAATTGTTTTAAACTATAAAGCAGTCTTATATTTCTTATTTTAATAATTATTAATATTTATTTATTTATAATTCTTTATTATAGGATTGCTCAGTAATCTAGATAAAATCAGAAAGAAGGGAACAAGTGGGTAAATAATGTGGACAGCAGTAGAAATAAATGAAATGTTTTATTAGCACTGTCATGCTCATCAATGTATATTATCAGCCCTAACTATCTGGCATCTAGTGCAACAGTATGTGTATACTGCACAAAGCCACTGGGCTGCCGCTGATTAGACTCTTATGAGTGACAAATTTGTGCCTAACTGTGTAGATAGAAATCTACTACTTTATCTATGTTATGAGTAATATATTCATGACTGCTCATGTCTGGTAGATTACTAATGTATCATGGATGGTACAAAAACCATGCTATCTATATATATTATGTGTATTTACATTGATGCCATGGGTGACTGTTATGTTTGAGCAAATAGCTCTCCAAATAAACAAATGATGTTTATACTGAAATAATTAAATATTAGTGTACTTTTATCAAATGTCTGTACAGTCTATTGGTATAAGTTTCCTTTTTTATTAAATGAACATGAAGCCTTTTAAGACTTACATAACTAATTAAATTTATTAATATCAACCTTTCATGCAAAATGTCTATGTTATTGAAGTGTTCACATCCTTCTATTGTTTAAATGATATTCATATCAAACAGTCATAGGTTGTCATTCCGTTTGATAAATTAATACCTATAAAGTACATCTTGTGTTTGCTGTTGTTGTCTAAGAATGTAACTAATTTAAATTCATATTATCAACTAAATGGGGAAAATAAAACCAATTCAATAAAGCGTCATCTTATATTGTTAATATTTTTTTACAAATGGCATTACTGAACATTTAATATGCATTGACTTCGATTATGTTCACTAATGAATAAATACCCTCACACGCGTACAGTAGATACAATGACAAAATTTTCATATCCAATTCCTTCTGCTAGTCATTTCCGTGTAACGCGTAAAACTATGGTTTATGGCACTTATACATGATGTGTATTTTACAAATTACTATAAATTCCCATTGTTGGATGGACTTGTGGTGTAGATATTCTAGTTTGTACTCGACTTTCAATCAAAATACTGAGATGGCACAAAAAATAATACATTTTTGTGAAGATATTACTATTTTTATTCTACTTTGAAGATTGTATTAAGAATTTACTCAGGATGAATAGGTACTGTCTATTCTCGTTGCTAATATATTATTAGTTTTGAAATTACTACCTGCAAATACATTATATAGCTAGGCGTACAAATATTTCTACTGCATTAGGCACAATATTTCATGTTGAGTCAAATTTAGGCCACCTAGTATTACGACAGTATCGCTTTATTGTCTCACATAAATTGCGCTCAAAGTGAGCTACAAACTAAGAATGTTTAATTGATTACAACAAATACTTCGTTAAATAAATTCTACATAGATATTTTCGATGATAAGTTAGTAAAGACAAACGTAATTTTAATAATCATAGGGATACAATGGTATCTAATAAAGATAAATTCATAATTGGGGAGTATAAAATATTAGAAGAGTAAGTTTACAACTAATTGTAATGCTTACATAAAGCATGTTACTAAATAAATTGATACTAATAAGTTATACAGCTACCTTATATATTTGTTATGACTACTATTATACATTTTTGACAGAAAAGTTATTTAAGTGCTATACAAGGCCAAAGTCTGTGCAGACTGCTGCAACGTCACGGTTGTTCTGCTTTTCCGAGTTGTTCGCCGCCATGTTTAGCTCGACCAAAGTGTCGACGCTATTTATACTGACACCTTTTAATATCTTCTGAGCGGCTAAACTAGTAAAATTAAAGCTCAAATCGCTCAAACTCGGAAAGTTGTAAAAATCCTGATTCTCCTTCTTGCTCTCTTGACTCAGGCTGTACCTCTTCTGTTTGCTATCTAAGCAGTTGATTTTATCTGTGGACGTATTGATGTCTTTTATAAGCTCTTGATTCTTCACTGCCAAGTTTGGCTCCGATCCTAAAACTGTCGGCTTTTGGTCGATTCCTTTCGTTAATAGATTCGCTATAGAATCTGAACTCATTCTGCTATTCACGTTTGGCAAACCGTTTAGCATCTGTAGTGCAGCTGCTTTTTTTAACAGATCAACGCTTTTCAATTCGCTGTTCGAATTTATGTTACTTTGGATGCCACCGTTGGTTGGTGAAAAGGAGTTTTTTTGATATCGCAAACTTCCTAAAGATCCTATGATGTTATCGTAACTTTTAGTTGGCGTGGATGGATTACTATTTGCCGTCGTCTCCAAATTGTTTATGTTGTTGTGGATCGCTGGTGACGTTGGATTCGAACCAACCTCGTTAGTATTGTTCAATTGATTCTTATAAACGAAACTATTGTTATTTGTCGCACCGCCTATTTGCAGAGAAAGCTTACGATTATTATTCATACCCGTGTCGTTTATGGAGTTTTTATTAAATTTATTTTCTTGTACTTTAATCGGTTCCTGTTCTTGAAACATTTGCTTTTTGTTTTCGACACAGACGTCGAATGAGGTTTCTTTTGGATTTTTGGCGTTTTGGGTTGTCACACCGTTCTGCGAAACGGAAACGACGTGTCTGTCGTCATTGATGATGTAAATGTTACTTCCGTTACTGGTCTCGGTTACTTTGCCGTTTTCGAATGTGATCACAGACCTTACCGGTGAATTCTGCACATAAACCTTTGTGTTGGTACCCCCACCGTTCTGGGACATAGTGTTTGTGGTAACTTTTAATGTGATTGAATTGTTAGAATTGGAACTCGCCAGCATAGTAGTAGAGGGATTTTCAATCTTAGATCCTATGGCTTTCTGTAGCGTAGCAGCGGTTTTTTTTGGGGTATCCGGACAGTTTTTTGGTAAGCTCTTAGGTGATGTACTTTTACTGCTCTTTACCGTTTCCCCGCCGACAATTGGTGGTTTAGATCTGAATTTGTGAAGCGACTTTGGAGAGCTTTGTAGACTTTGAACTTTGACGAGTGATTGTGCTCTGCTGAGCCCTGGTGCTCCGTGATTAGAGTGACTAGGCGAAGGCTTCAACGTGCGGTCGGATATGTGCGACTCTAGACTGGAGTGACCGCTACTGCCACTCGTGTGGTAGCTTCTCTTCATTAGTACATTTGGGTCCGACTGGCCGTTTCTTATTATATCCTTCCTTGGGGTTCGCAGTGGAGTCGCACTCTCCAGGCTGGAAGGGCCACTAGTTGACATAACATTATCCGAGTTCGAATAATCGGCTCTCCTTAGACTCCCACTAGGACTGTCTCGCAGTTTCGGATCACTGCTCCTTTGAGGTGATCCGAAATGATCTAAAATAGTTTTGTTAGTGGAACTTCGGCTCAGGGTTGATCTCGGAAGGCTGCCGGAACTAGGGCTGGACTGCCTGATCGGCGAGTGATCGTAATTAGAACCGGCGATACCAGATTCAGTGGAGAGGTGCCTCTTGTGACGACGAGGTAGCGTCGAAGACCGATTACTTATCTCTGAACCGTCGTAGTATGATGAGACAAAGGATGTTTGACTTTGCAGCGACTCCTGTAAAACACAAACAAAAATGTAATATAACTCTTTATTTCAATTAATTAGATCTGAAAAAAAGGGATGAGAAAGAGAGAAAAACCGATTAGAGTAATCAGAAGAAAACATACTTTAAATATTACAAATATCAAGGACTGCTAACGACAGGTAACTGGTACTCTTCTTTTTCCCCCCTACCTATTCGCTGGTAATCTAAGGGCTATTCCGGTTTCTCGCGGACGCGTATATAGTCGTCCCGATTCCTAATACATACATTAATGATAGGTAATAGTTTAATGAAGTCGTACATACATTAATGAAGTCTTAGAGGCCTAACGGATAAGACGTCCGATGCATTCGATTTGAGCGATGCACCGGTGATCGAATCTCAGGCGGGTACCAATTATTCTAATGAAATACGTACTCAACAAATGTTCACGATTGATTTTCACGGTGAAGGAATAACATCGTGTAATAAAAATCAAACTCGCAAAATGATAATTTGCGTAATTACTAGTGGTAGGACCTCTTGTGAGTCTACGCTGGTAGGTACCACCACCCTGCTTATTTCTGCCGTGAAGCATTAATGGGTTTCGGTTTGAAGGGTGTGGCAGCCGTTGTAACTATACTGAGACCTTAGAACTTATATCTCAAGGTATGTGGCGCATTTGCACTGTAGACGTCTATGGGCTCCAGTAACCACTTAACACCAGGTGGGCTGTTAGCTCGTCCACACATCTAAGCAATAAAAAAAAGCCAGACAAGTAAATTAGGTTTGAAAATCTATGAATATTATTTGTAGCTACTTCTAATTCTCATTTTAGTTACTCTGTTATAATTGTAAAACTTTACGATACTGATGAAATATAAATTATACCTTAGAGTTGGTCTGCGTTGCGACACAGTGGAGATGAACCGCCTTAGAGTTGAACCACTCGGTGGGCGGGAATTGGGCGGAGAAGGTACTCATCGCGCGCGTCTGCTTGCTGCGGCCGCTTCGTCTGAATAAGCGGGACAGCAGGGACACTTTTTCTGGAAAATCCGTCAAATACGTTGTTATTATTGTAATATTAGGTATAATTATATTTATATATATATATTTTTTTTTATATCCTACCTAAGTTGATAGCCTTCAGAGGCTATTTCAGCGTAACCTTAACTAGTAGGTGAGCTCACGGGGCTCAAACCTGATGACGTTGCTAACACGAACCCTAGCAAGAGCCGTGCTTTGCAGAATCTACCACCGGATCGGAAACGCGACCCACGGAGAAGATCCGGCGAGAAACGCAGTGGACTGTGTCTGTGGGTTAATTTACTCGTCGAGCCCTTTGTCGCAAGCGACGGGTTCGACGATCACGATGACCGGTATAGCCAACAATAATTACTAGTGTACAAAACGTTTTTCCCAAAAAAAAATATTTTTTTTTGTTGATAAAAATGCTTTGTAAAATATTTCAAACCCCTGCGTAAAATAGTGACAATACCAATGCGCATTTTATTCTATCCATGTCTTTATTTTACATGAAAAGGAAATTAATTGTGGAATTGTACTTTTTAATTTTCGGTATAGATTTTAAATGATCGATAAATTTGTTTGATCTGTCAATTGAAATTTGTCTGTTTGCGCAAACTGAAATAGCCCCTTAGGCTACTAGCGAATTGGCAGAAAAAAAATTGTAAGCTCAAATAAAAAAAAACATTATTCGTCATAATGACGATGAATTAAATCTTATACCTTTAAACGGGCAATCTCGGAAACGGCTCCAACGATTTTCATAAAATTTAGTATACAGGGGATTTCGGGGGCGATAAATCGATCTAACTACGATTTATTTTCAGAAAATGTTGTTTTATTCGTGTTTTCAATAATCAGCTTTATCGATAATCCACTTTATGACTCTTCCCGACATCTATTGGCGAATAAGAATACTATTTTTATTGCTTTAAAGACACGACAAGATAGCGTTATAAAAAAAAAAAAGCCGAGCGAAGATCGGTCATTATCTAGTGACATACTTAAATCGGCATACCATTATTTGGATCGAAATTACGAATAAGAAATCTCATATTGAAATTTTGTTATAACTTAACTTAAAATTAGAATTATGAATAGAAATATAAAAATAGAATAGAATTTGTATAGTAGTAGTTTGCGAAGGCCACACCCGTAGGCGGGTAACCAATTTTGTTTCAAATCCGCTTAAACTTCGTTTTAAGCCAACGCATTAATAACTGGTTAAGTTCAGTTCAAAGCACGTCATGCATACTTACCTGCTATTTTAGCCAAGGGCGTACCTACACAAAAAGTGCATTTGATATTTGGTGAATCAGTAAATAAAATAAAGTTAATAAACATAACATTTCTATATACATAAATGTGTTATAAGAAATTATGCGTAACCAGTGACTTCGTTTGCTTAACTAAAAAATTAACTTATAAAGTTTTTTCAGAACATATAAAATACTATTTAAAATATTACCTAAGAAGTCGAAGATCAAAGCGCAAACTCAAGTTGAGGCTAAACATATCTTTAGATAAGTACTGAAAGAAATGTGACTGGTCGACTCGACTTGTGATCATTTAATTCAGTGTGTTTTTATGAACCTTTTATTCAATATTACCAACCTATCTAGCGAAAGTGATCCAAAGGGTCGCTGCATTCTTAAGAATCAATAGTGATTTAATACATAGGCACTTTTATAGGTTAATATCGCGTTTAATTCATAAATAATCAGTCGTCCTTTCCTAACACTTCGAAAAGCGGATTTTTTTTAAATGAATACAATAAACTAATTAGGAAATAGTCTACAATCATGCCGACGATTGAAGAAACTCCTAGAAAAAACCAATGAGGTTTGTATTATGTAGTTTTTAATTAACTTACTAGGCGACGCGGACTCAACACTAGGCGGATAATCGGTGGAAGAAGAGCTGTCAGTCGTATTAACGTGTTTGTGATGGAGACTCCTGGTAGAGGCGCAGCGCTGAAGGTACTTGCTGGAAGAGCCGAAGATGCGGAGAGAGTGCCGCCGGTCCAGAGATCTTGGGGCCGGGAAGGAAGCGCTGCGACGTTTGTTCGGTCGACCATATAAAACTTTGTCGTTTGGATTGCCTGAAAGTAATAATAAAAAATGTTAAATATGTAGAATGGGGATCGCAGCACATAAAGTAAAAGTTACACTGTTCCAAACTCTTCTGTTATAATAATAATTAAAAATTAATTAACACTTTTATTATGCCTTGCTCATTTTTTAACCGTTTTCGCCATCTTCCTTTTCTTTGTCATTCTGTCATGCTCTTCTTCCTTTCTTTCTGTTTTCTCTCACTCACATCTTAACGCTCCGTTCCACACTCTTTTCATACTTTCCGTTCTTACCAATCCTACATATATATATTTAAATTCTACGTTTGCCGACCCATTGATATGTTTTCATAGGGTAAGCTACAAAATTCAGAATTCGGTCGCATGCCGTAGACAGAAGCATTCAGATTGCTGTCCATGGACTCCAATAGCGGACCTGCACTACCAGGTATATAATATATTATGTTAACAAAACATATTATAATCATCATCACATTGATTCATCAGTGATTAAAGTTGCCTATATCAATTGTTAGTCAATGTTTTACTTCGATTTTTTTTATTATCTAAGCAAACCTATCGAAATGGGTGGACGAGTTCACGGTCCACCTGGTGTTAAGTGGTCACCGGAGCCCATAGACATTAACAACTTAAACACCGCCACCCAACATAAGTCTCAGTTTTATAGTATAACGGCTGCCCCACCATTCCAACCGACACGCATTACAGCTTTAAGGTGGAAATAGGCAGGGTCGTGGCACCCACAGGTGTGGGTTCACAACCTAACAACAAAATTTTCCAGGAATCTGACTATTGATTTCACACCTTATTCACATAAAATCAGTAAAAAATCCTTTCCTTTATTCGAACGAATTTGGTCTTAGAATCTCAAGGTATTCTTAGTCACATTCGTCAAAAACAACGCGCTAATAGCTCCGTTTTACCAAATTCAACACGAATAAAGTACAATAATAAAACTACTGAATGAACCCGTCTTTCCATTCGTGGTTTGATCAACAATGTAATTTCAATACAATGTAATTGGACCTTCACTACGGAACCAGTTCTCGTTACATTTAAGCATTTGAACGAAAGAAACAGGTATCATTTGTTGTTTTTTACGTGTGGGGGGAATACATGTCGCTTTGTTTGAATCAACACATGAATAAATCAATTAGATCATTGACATCTGTTTGGTTCCATATTTTGTATATTGCGACGACACATTATTAATGTTGCCAGTACTTTTATTATTATTTTTTTTTTTTATTGCGTAGATACGTGGACGACCTCACAGCCCACCCGGTGTTAAGCGGTTACTGAAGCACATACATCTACAACGTAAATGTCGCCACCCACCTTCAGATATAAGTTTTAAGGTCTCAGTATAGCTACAACGGCTGCCCCACCTTTCAAACCGAAACGCACTACTGCTTCACGGCAGAAATAGGCGGGGTGGTGGTACCTACCCGTGCGGACTCACAAGAGGTCCTAGCACCAGTACGGGCGTTTTTTTTAAATGCGCTCTTGTAACAATCAAATCAGAATATTCCATTCGCTATTAATGGAATATTCTGATTTAACACTAATAATAATAATACCTAATAGATCATCGACATTCTAAACCTACCACATTTTATATAAAACTTGAACACCGTGATCACGTACAGAGCTAAATCAGTAACAAGTTCAATGTACAGATTGCTGTTTGTTTGTACGTGCGCTCAGACTGCAAATGCTACGCATTCGTTACTCCAATTTATAATCTGATGGCAACACCAGCTGCGTAAATGCCCTTCCATTAGCATTTCACTGTCAATGCTGTTTATTGAATCGTTGAAATTTCAGTATTCACTGTAAATTATTTTACTTCGGTTGTGAAATTACTAATGGATGAGTTTATTTCATAGAATTCACAAACTGTCAGTGAATAAACAATCCTAGTTGATGGCAGAAATATTGCCGTAGCTATCCACTACGTAGAGCTAAGAGTGTCCACGACATATTATTATTAACAACCTTATTAGCACAGGGCTTTAAAAATCTCGTTCTTAGGCTGACCAATTGTATTTGAATTTATAATCTAATTAAGTTCATGAATAAACTTATAAGAATACAACAAAATATTAATAGTTACGTACCAGCATTAGGAAATCGTGTTAAAAAATATCTATGATTTATTCTTTAAAATATCTTTCTTTTTCTTAGTTATTGTGTAATGTTTCTTTTATACTTTAGACAAGTTTGCGATAAATCTATTGTTACCCCCGCTCAAGTTGCTACTAAGTAACTACTAATATTAATTAAAAAATAAAATTAAATCAGCATGTTCAGTTATAATGTTGTCTTTACAAAAAAAGGTAAATAACTAGCCTCATAAAATCTTCGTTACGAACCTAATAATATAATATGGACGTATTATAGTCCTCTGTGGAATTCAAGACATTTGCATATCTCGCACGAGTAAGCATGAATACTGGCGAGTTATTTTAACACACCGTATCCCGCAACATATTTATTAATCCTTTACTGCCAAGATAGTGCTTCCGATGCGTTTTGAAGATAATCAAAACAGATGAGTGAGTCATCCATCCATACTGTTTTGGATAATTTAAGAAGCGGTCGATGTCGAATTGTCACGTTATAATTTTATTGTAGTTACAAATTGCCCTTGCTGTATATTGATGGTGTTATTCATATATTGACTTTGAATATTTACCGTCAGGTAGACCGTATGCTCATATGTCTTAAAAGCGTTTTTTTTTTATTTTGCATTATGTACCTTTTTGCTTGTAAACATTGAAATCAAATTACGTCAATTGATATACATAATTACATACTTTGCCACGAATGATTTTATGATTCAATTCAGTTGTATGTATAGATTTTCTATAATAATATATTGTCTATGGTACACCGTAACATACCTGCTATATTTTAATATTTTCCAGAATTTCTGTAAATTAAACGGTTGGCTGGAAGAGATCGGTTTTAGCGATAAGACTGCCTATTGTACAAATGTATCTGCTTTTTGACTGTTTTTCAATGTAAATTGTGTTTTGGTGTGCAATAAAGTGTATTCTCTCTCTCTCTCTCTCAGTTGCATGAAGCTATATTCTAATTTTGATTTAGTAAATAATAAACTGAAATATAATAATTAATTTAACTAATTTTGAAGTAAACACTCTTAGTGCTTCGTGAAAGAAGTGAAAACGAAAGAACGACACAAACACTAGAGCGCATTTTGTGTGCAAAAATATCCTTAAAATTTTTAATCTAGTTTCTAACATAATTTAATTCTATGAATTAATGTGAACGCATTAAGATAATGCGCCGTGCAAAGACCATTAATATTCTTAGTAGGAGCGGCCCCGTTCGTCAAGAAGCTATTTTCGCGCACCCATTGAAGTTTAATCATCAGATGATGTCATTAAATAAAATTCTAAGTAATATCTTTATTTGGCAGCTTGTAGATAATTTCAAGAAATTGCAATAGAGCCAAAATAATTTTAGTATATAATTTGATACGTTTTTGTTTTTAGATCTTAGTTAATACTAATGCATACATAATAAAAACATTCTTGACTTGTTAGGTCTCCCTTGGAGGCGCTCGGGTAGCTGTTAGCAAATCCCGCCCCTTCTGGCTGAGCCCTTTCTCGCCCTCGCGGCCACCAATAAACCCTCAATCATAAAAATAAAAAAAAACAATAACATTAACGTGACATAACTAACGGGAAATTGGTCAAAAGAGACCCTTCTTCTTCTTCTTCTCGTTTCAGTTTCCTCAGAGTGTAATAAAGTTATTTGTCTTTGTTTACGGCCTGAATTCTCAAGGACAGCAAAATCTACAGTATGTTCAAACATCCAGATTATCGTTATCGCTTGCTTGAAAAAGCCAAGTTGCCGTGCATTGTTTAGTGACAGGGGATTTTAGTCGCTCCAATTACGACATACCTCGCCTATCGACCAGTGTGCTTAGTGCGAGTTTTTTAACGTTTCGATGACGTAAAAGTTAACTCAAATTGTATGGAGTTGGAAAGTTTGCCTACGTTTCCCGCTAGGAGCGCTGTTCCAACTGCATACAAATTTGAGTTAACTTTTACGCTATCGAGAACGTTAAAAAACTCGCACTAAGCATAACTAGAACTAGAACTCCTACAGATTTTTAAAGCGAAACTCATCTTATGCAAATTTCAAAGTCTCGCTCGCGCTCCGTTTATGTTTTGAAATCTCATTATAATTAAGATGTGCTTAATCTATGATGGCCGCAGCTGGCAGGTGAGTGCCCATATCTCGTGTACGGCATTGCGATCGAGTCACGGAGTATGCTGCACGGAATGCAGGCGCATTTGCATGGGATGCGTTGCAAATATTATCTGACCGTTTATTAATAGAACGCCGTGGTTTTATGCTAAACATTTTTTATTTCACTGCCATAAAGTTAACTCATTGGTTCGCAAAATAATTTATCATCTTTCCTCTCCTTGTCGTGAACAAAGCTAAGCCAGATCTATTAATTTTTAGGAAATGTATTATTTTTAAAATGACTAGATTGTATATTCATTTATTTATTTATTTAATGAATACAGAAGCAAATACCGTGTTATTTGTTGATTCCCAAATGAATTTCAATGCTTACTACGTAATAAGAAATATGTAATGTGTGCTTCGGTGATGCATATCGACGCTTGAAAGGCAAACGTGGCTAAGCGACAATGCGTGAACTTTACAGTAGACTAATTTAAAGTTGAAATACCTGAAAACAAAATTAATTTTAATGAATCTAGCTGTAGTAGAATCTAGCTAGTAAGTAGCTGTAGGATTGAAATAATTTTAATAGACCTAGAAATATATATTTTCTGCGCATCGAATATGGTTATTGTCTATCATTTATGTACAAAGCCGTTATTGTCGCTTAATCACGTTTGCCTTTCAAGCGTCGATATACATATGGCACATATTAAATCAACGAGTAGGTACATATCATCGATGGATGTATGCATAAAAATAGCTGCACTTAAATGCACAAA